AGACTTCTTCTTGTAGATCTACATTTAAGAATGTATTCTTAACATTCAATTGATGTAGTTCCTAGGAAATGTTGGCTACAAGAGAGAGTAACACCTATATCTATATCTATAATCAATACATTCTTTTTGGGTGAATCCCTTTGCAACTAATCTAGCACCGCACAATTCTCTTCCCAACCGGTAGATCCACTAGCTCCCAAATGCTCACCTTCAACAAGGCTTTCATCTCCTCATCCATAGATTCCCTCCATTTGGGATCAACAATGGCCTTTGAGTACTTGGAAGGAGTAGAAACAGAAGACAAGGTAGAAATAAAAGAGTGATGGGCAGGAGACAAGCRGCAATATGAAACAAATTTATTTATAGGATGTAAAGTACATGAATGCTACTAGGTCTCTCTATCCCTTCCTTTGATAAACACTTAGATGTCTTTATTCATCAACTTGAGGCGCAATTGCTTCAATACAAGGAGCAGTGCTAAGAGGATTTTCATCACCAGTAGTCTCAACTAGATAAGTAGACTCAATAGGAGGAGAGCTTGGGGAGAGAGAATCAAAGGGAAAAGTTGGAAGAGAAGAAGTAGGGGCTGGGACAAAAGGAATATCCTTAGAGGAAGTCTCTTCCACCCTACTAGTCTCCCCTTGAAGAGTCTAGGGAGGCTTAAAGAAAGATTATGACTCACAAAAAGTGACATTTTTGGTGATGAACTTCCTTCCAATAGTTGGATCAAGACATTTGTATCCCTTTTGTGGAGATAATCAAAGAACACCCCATGGATTGCCTTAGGGTCCAGCTTTGTCCTTTTGGATCCTTAACATTGATGGAATTGGCACAACCAAAGACCTAAGGAGGCAAAGAGAACATAGGTTGATATGGACAAAGGACAAAGAAAGGAGTTTTAATTCCCAAAATCCTGGATGGTATTGATGATATACAAGGCTGAGTACTGCATGACACCAAAACTTCTTTGAAACCTTGCTTTGAAACAATAGAGTATGAGTGGTTTCAAGTAAATGTCTATTCTTCCTTTCTACAACTCCATTATGTTGTGCTGTGTAAGTACAAGACGAGTGACGTAAAGTCCTTTCATCTTCAAAGAAGGCAGTTAGAGAATTCTTGTAATATTCAGTTGCATTATTTGAATGAAATTGCTTAATCTTCCTTCCAAACTAGGGYTGTTCATGAATTGGGCCAAACCGGTTAAACTGATTAACCCAACCCAACTCAATCCAAGTTGGTTGGTTTTATTAAATTTTTGGTCGGCCTCGATTTAAAGACCTAAATAAACTAATTGATCGGTTTGGGTTGCAGTTTTTGAATTTATGAACCGAGTAAAACTGATACATAATGTGTTATAGCCGTTAAAAACAAGTCAATTATCTGATATATACTGTAGACTACTTTTTCTAAAACATCACAAGACAATGGCATGACCTATCAAGTTTTGTAGGTCTGCAATCCTAGCCCCTACCCCCTAGGCCTATTTTTAGGCAAATGTGTACACTTCCTATGCATTGTTTAATTCTTTATCACTTTTTCATTAAATTTGTAKTTTGATATTTGATTAAAATATTCAGATAATTATTTATTATCAAAACAAATGTCATAAAATTTGTACCAGACAGTCATAATGATTTTTCATTTTTATTTTCAATTTTCATGTCATTTCATACAAACCCCAAGCTGCAACYTATAAACTGCAAAAATACAATAAAATGGTGGATATCTTGGTTCGGTTAAAACCGACCAAACCAAGCATCTGACAGCATTATTTTAACTGGTTTGTGTTATTTTTTGGTTGGTTTCGGTTGGCTTGTTAGCCACCCCGAGATGGTCGGTTCGGTTGCTAAAATAATATGTAACGAAACCAAACCGACATGTGAACAGCCCTATTCCATACCATGTCTCAATCATCTTGTAGAAAACCATAGTGATTCTAGGTACTTTCTCTCGTTCTTTCATCAAGTGGATCCAAGTACATGTTGTAAAATGATCAATAAAACTAATGAACATGGAAGTAATGGGTGAAGGACCCCTGACCTCTGAATGAATTAAACCAAAAGGAGCACTGACTTCATTGCTAAAACTTGGATGGTTTGTTTTAAAATGTTGAGACATTTTGACACGCATGATAGAAAGACTTTCAAGACACTTTTTCAAATAACTTTGGAAACAAGACTCCTAACAACAGAAGAGACAAATGACTCAATCTAGCATGCTGGAGATAGACCAAAGTACTAGACTCCTTGCATTCACTGATATGAGTGGATGATGCCTTAAGATCCGAACTGATGTTTTCATTGAGATAATAGAGACCTCCAGACTCATGACCACTCCCAATCATTTGCTTTATCAACCAGTCCTGGAAAACACAATGACTGGGAAGAAGTCACAATACAATCTAAAGTTTTTGTTATTCTATAAATTGAAAGCAAGTCGGCAATAAAGTTAGGGACATGCAAGGTAGACTTGAGAGAAAGGGCTTTTCCAAGTTGAGTATTCCCTTTCCCATGAATAATAGAGAGAATCATCAACAACCTTCACTTTGTCTTGTCYGAAAACTAAGTGCAGAAGCAATACTTGTTTTGGAAAAAGAGAAGGAAGCAATAGAGGACTGTTTCAACCAAGCCTTAGCCTGATTGAGGATGTCTACTTCTTTAGKTTTGAACTTGGGTAAGCTATTTAAAGGAGTAGTGGTCTGTCTCATACCAGAAGAGTTATTAGTGGTTCCATTTTTGTGCATTCSATCCATCATATTTGAAATTGCTACATGTCCATGGGGTTCTAAACCTTTACTTGGTTTTTTATCCTTCCTTAGAGTTGCTGGTTTTAGATAAGGGTGCAGAATCCAGCATTTATCTTTGGTGTGTTTCTCCCCACCACAACGAGAATACTTAAGATTTTTCTTGTCTACCCCTTTCCAACTATTTTGAGTAGCTGAAGAAAGAGTAAAGTTTTCAACCTGTTGTGTAGGAACCTCCACATTCATCTCTTTCCTCCTAATTTTTTTCATTTCTGATTAGGTAAAACACATGTTGCAATCTAGGGAGTTCATCTCTCCTCAAAATTTGAGACTGAATACCATCATATGAAGAGTCTAATCCAACAAGAAATTTAAACATCCTTCTTCAATTTGTTTTTGGTACATTTCCCTATCTTTAGAAATTTTTCAATCAATGATGAGATGATGATCAAGTTCTTTTCAAAGCCCTTCAAGTGTAGCAAAGTAAGTAACAATGGACACATTTTCTTGGTTCAAAGTTGCAATATCATGTGTCAACCTATAAACCCTTGCATTTTTTTTCTGTTGTCCATAAGTATTAGATAGCTTCTCCCAAATTTTATCAAAAAAAAAAAAAAAAGATAGTGCTGAACTGTCATAGCAATCTTTGGTGTCATGGAAGATGGCGGCCATGACATAACCAAGCATTTCTCTCAGTCCAACTCCCATAGGTAAGGTCTTCCATCTTTGGTTCCTTGACCTGTCCATTGATGTATCCTAGCAAACTATGACTTGTAATATGGAGTTTTGCAGAAATTGACCATTCTTTAAAGTTATATTCGTCCAATTTCACATCAGTAATTTGATGACTAGGGAAACTAGGGTTTTCACCATGATCAAGAAATCTTCACTTGATCTGTTTTCCTTTGGGGTTACTTCACTTGATTTTTAGGATGGCATTTAACCTTCCAAAAATTCAGCTATAAAAGAGGACAGCACTATTTCCACACTGGAACCAAAGAAGTAGTTTTAGTAACAATGTTTCAACTCGGGTTCTGCTGTAGCTTGCACAGGAACACTAACAACAACCTTTCAGCTTTGGTTCAGCTCTATGCTGAACCAAAATTAACCTGTGGTCTGAGAAATCTTTCACTCGTGGAGCATACCCAAATCTTCCACTCATGTGGTCCGAAAAGTCCCTTGAACTACACCTGCTTGCAGTCCACAAACTTGATCTTGACCTGTCTTCTACAGGTCACTCTAGTAGTCCAAGGACTAGTACAGCTCTGTGACTTTGTCTTGCTCTTGTAGAGCATACTCAAACCTCTTCTGGGTCTCCCTAGATCTTCTTCCAAGGGAAAAACCCTAGGATGAATTCAGCAAACCATTACAAATACTAATTTTTTTTTTAAACAACTTAGAAATAGAAAGAAAGTAGAAAGGAAAAAGGAAAAAAGCAACAGATGGTTTGAAGTCGATCCAGAAGAAAAACTAGTAGTGCTTTGATACCATGTTAGTTTTCATATTAGAGAAGAAGAAGAAGAATGAGAGAAATGGGGCGGTGGCACCTCTAACAGCCCCTAATATTATTATTTATAGTAGGGTTTTAAGAGGAGTACAATGACAAATATACCCCTGATTAGTAGGCAGAAAAGAACATATTTGGACAATAAGGCCCATGCCCATTAATCCTAAGAAAGAAACATAAAAGAGGAGCACAGAATATAAACAAAACAGAGAACCTAAGCCCAGAACGCTAGGTCTCACAACATGGAGCAGGAAAGAKTAAGTTTTTAAATTTTTATTTCAGGAAAAATTTGTTCCTTCRAACATGAGATGCTKCACTAGAATTTTTCAAAGTGTTAAGTTACTTTCTTAGAAGGTATATTTGAGACAACATAAAGTAAAACATGGATCATTTTTGTTGAGCTTCAGGAAATGTTTAAATAGAAAAATTTACATATTAAGGACCCTCAAACCCATTAAATTTACCATCAGTAACAAGTTTCAAAAGTTTAATTTACATTGCAAAGTAGGTTATTCCATTAAACAGGCAGTGTGGCATGGCAGCAGTGTCATATCAGTTTCTTGCTTTGATTTTACATGCCTTTATTTCTGGGTTGAATCAATTTCACTTTATAAGACCAGAAGTTGTTTTTTGTGATATTGTTTTTGAACTTTTCTTCCTCCTTTTTACCATTTATTTATAATCATGGTTATTGAAGTGTATTTATGGAAAAATACAAAGAGGATAACTGTTTTCCTCACTGAATAACAGGTGAAAAAAAGAGAAAAAATGGCAAAGCTTCGAGAAGAAATGGCTGTTCAGAAGGCCAAGGAAACAGAACTGAACAAAACGATTCATATAACAGGTCTGTCCATTTATTAATCATTGAGTACTCTTGAAATTCACAGTGTCAAGCCTCTATGTTTGCAAAAACATCTCAATTGGTTTCATTCTATTCTTCTTGCAGAGGAAACCATGCGAGCAAAACAGATGCTAGCAACCATGTCTCACGAGATTAGATCTCCCCTTTCTGGTGTTGTTAGCATGGCTGAGATTCTAGCCACAACAAAATTAGATCGTGAGCAACGACAACTATTGAATGTCATGTTGTCCTCTGGAGATTTGGTTTTGCAACTTATCAATGACATTCTTGACCTTTCCAAGGTTGAGTCAGGTTCGAAGTTCATCTTTCTTTGTGTCTTTTTAAAGTATAACTATTTTTTTTATGATTCTAGATTTTCCTTTTCAAAATTTTAGTTTTAGAAAAGGAAAAGGAAAATGATACTGATTGTTTGTTTTTTATAATAGGAAAACTGTTCCATCCATTGCATAGGGAGTCCTTTGGACTGGCCAGGTGTCCAATCCTTCAGTTCACATTAGCACTATCCCCCATCTTGTATTGATGGTTTCCCCAACAAATATTAGCAGTTAAGAGTTAGAATTTTTTAACGGCTTTCCTGATGACCTGGTAGTTGAGATGGTCATGGACACTTAGCATCACTCTGAAAGTGGAGGTGTAGGATCAACCCCATGAAACATTAAGCTCCTTGTGGGATGGCTTGCAGGCTTCATGTACACCCTGCACTATCCTTATCYCAGAGTCCCTACTAATGATAACTAACCTGCTAACTTAAGGTCTAACCTTGGTTTGATGAGAAAGGGCTTGATAATGGGCCCAACCAAGGTAACTCCAATGAACATTGGCACTTCAGATTATGACATTTGAGAAAGGGCTTGCATGTGCATAGCCTGCCCATATGTTGAACCTCCACCTTTAGCACAAGGCACAGTATTGTTCCATGAATTGTTTTCATAAGTTGGTGTGCATACACATGTTAAATTGTATATGCCATGTTGGCCATTAGTGAAGGCCACCCCACAAGAGGATGTTGTTGGTCTAGGACTCCCATGGTTTGGCACCCAAGGAGAATTGCCACCCAGACCCAGTCACCCATCAAAGAGTATGCTAATCTTGTGAGGGGTAACCAATAGAAAACACATATAGGCAAAGAATATATTGTCTTATTTACAACCCAATCACTCAACATAGATGCACCAAGATTTTGCATGCTGAGCACATGTAAACCTTTATAGGCTCCCCTTCTCAAGTCATTGTTGTCCTTGATGATTCTCAAGTATAGTTAACAAACATTTGTTTCAGATTCATCCACATTGTTCTAATTTAGACTCTCTGCTTGAAACAAGGCCACCTTGGTATACCTGGATTTTACCTAATATTGGTTTCCGCTATTGGGAGGCTTCAACTTCCCCCTGCTAGTCATCCTAACTGCACCCATCAGCTTGGGTTACTTAAACCATGCCATGGCTATGTGTATCCACCCTTGTAACTATCTTCACCTTCTCTGTTTTGGGTACTTATCACACTGTGGAGAGTCCGCCTTTATTCTACCTCAAAGCTTGACCTGGTATATTGATATAGTCTCCCTCTTGGAGTTGGGGCCAACTTATAAACCTTACTCTTCAACTTAGACTCCCTGTTAAGTCAAGGATTGCCTAATGAACTCACCTTTTGGTTTAGTCTCCCGTGTTAGAGTCAAGGCACATCCATGAATTCACTTTGTCAGTTTAAACTAACATTCTCAAGTCAAGGTTGCTCAATAAGCTTGCTCTATTGGTTGGAGCATTGATGGTGTAAGTTTACCAATGTTGCTACCAAACATACACCCAGTGAAATTATGTGTTGGCTTCTGTGGAGGCTTTACTCAAAGATGTGAATCAGTCCTCTAATATCAGGTTTAAAATCAGTGATTAATAGTACAAATCAGATCTGAATGATAGTGCGAAGAGAAGAGGTAAGAGAAGAAGTCGAATTAGTCTTCCTTCTCCTCTAACCCTATTTTTTATTAATCTCTAAAACAAATTGATGATGACAAGTATACCCTTAAGTGGGCGGCCAGCTTGGCAGTTACATAAAGAAAATAAAATAAGAACAAATAACAGGCCCATTAAGTGAGGCCCATCA